AATTTATATGCATTCAAATGAAATGTGAAAAACTCAGTTCCTCTGCCTCACGAGCTATATTTCAGGTGTTCAGTCTCCACTGGTGGCTAGCGGCTGCTGTGTGGATGGCACAGACCTAGCACGTTTCCTTCCTCTCAGAAGCTTGCATTGATGAGCACTGCTCTAGAACAGCGTGCATCACATTCTGCCTTGTAATCTATAGGGGGATGTGAACACACACACACGTACATAATACACATTCTTGTTTATAGCAAACAAGTATGTACATACATGGGCCTAAGGCAGACTTCTTTATATTCAAGAAAATGGAAGAGGAACCAAAAATGGATTGAAATGATTGTAATGCAGAAGGAGGAAGGGAAAGGAGAAAAAGGGAAGGGACAAGGACGGAAGCTAGGTGTCTCTGAAAGCACCCTGTTTTGTAAATCGGACGTCGGAGCCAGGTAAATGTTTTACGTAATTATCAATAACTCAAGAATGATAGCCCCCTAAGTCCCCCAAGCCCCTCTGGATGCTTTTCTTTTTCTTTCTGAAAGCCCAGCGGGCATGCGTACTTCACGCTGGAACACGACAGCAGCCACGTGGCTGCCACCGTGGCCCGCGAGCAGTTGGCACACCTTCCCGCCTCCCGGGAGAGCTGCTGTGCCAGGCTGCAGACGGAGGCCACGCCAGCACCTTAGTCCGGCACTTAAATGGTTAATTGTACACTGACGGCCCATGAAACCGAGAGAGACCAACTCGCACAGGCAAGGTTAGGGTCGACTGTGGACATTTGCTTTGTTTCTAAATCCGGAAGATAATGCCAAGTTAACTGAAAAATTTTTTAAGACATTTCAAGGAGATCATTTCTGTTCTATTTAAAACCTGTAATGAATGGGGAGAAAAGAGGTCTCTTGTTTTTGAGCGAGACCATCTCCAGAAGAGTAGGTGGGAGAGCACGGGGGACCTGGAGGAAATGGGTTTGAGAGCCATGTGGTCCGCTCGAAGAATCCAGTTGCCGGGCTGGCGTTGGCCAACCCCCCCCCCCCCCCCCAGGCAGGTTGACGCATCATTGAATGTGCGCAGACCTCTGGCAGAATTCCAAGCGTGTTGCACACGTGTCCTTGCTTTGTGGCTGTGGGTGGGAAGGGAGGGAGACCGTGGCGGACTTGGGGCTAAGACACACAGGCTGCCGTGTGAGGGCTTCCTGTGTGCCAGGAGCCGTCAGGTGCCCTCTGGACTGAACCCACTGCAGCCGCTACCGGATTGGCAGTAGTATTTGCAGGTGACAGGAGGCAGCGACACTTAGGTACCGCGCCAGCGGGCATGGGGTGCTCGAAAGCGGAGGAGCTGGCTTCCGCGTCAGGTCCACCTCTATGGCCTGTGCTTCCAAGGTTTCCCGATTTAGTCCGTTCTGGGTTATTCGGCGGGACCGCCTGCAGAGAGAAGGTGCCCACATGCTACGGCACTCCACACTTCCTGAACGTTCGTTCTGTGAGCTGTTTCGTGTTATTAGTAATCATCCTCCGACGGGCTCCATCCCATGTCCTTTGCGAAATATTCCACTGGTCCCTGCAGGATGTATTCCAAGCTCTGTCCCTTGAACACTGAACCTCAGGCTCGTTTAAGAATATCCCTACGAACGAGTCACCTAGCCCCTCCAAGCTTTATTTTCCTCATCCGTAAATCAGAGATAACAATTACTGGTGTTTTGAAATCTCTAGATCTCTCTTTAGAGCTTTTGTGCAAGAAAGCAAATGGAAAAGCTCCCAGGTCACGTAAAAAATGAACGTTGAGTAGAGTCTCTGCTTGGCCCCAATACACAATAGCGCAGTGGTTGCTACTGTGTAACTGTGTGTCATTCGGTCCCTTGGTTTAAATCATCAAGGAGTAGTTGCAGTGACTGTGGCGGTGGTGGGGGGCACCTGTGAGGATGGTGTGGGGCTTGACACAGTCACGGCTGCTCTAGATGTGACTGGAGGTGTGCAGGAACTATGGGGTACCGGGCGGCAGACCAGCCAGCCGGGCTTCTGGCGGCTAGATGTTTCCTCCTGTAATGACTGATTTGCAGAGTTGCAGATGGGGGTTGACCTGGAATAGACTCTCAAAAGTCACGTCTTGCAGAGCTTTCTAGCCCTAAGAGATCGGGCAGGCTCTTTGCAGCACAGGCTGGGGTAGGCAGTGCCCACAGTGGCCGTGTGGGGGCTTGATGGGCACAGGATGCCCGCTTTCCAGATGCGTCTCTCCTTTGTCCATCCCGCATGATATCTCAGGGAGTGACAGCAGGGACCGGTTCCAAGTCTGGGCATCCTTGCAGGGCCCGGAGGCCTGTGGCAGGAGCCCCAGCACCTGGGAGACGGGGCCGGCCTTGGAAAGCAGACACTTGGCTGGCCAGCGAATGAGTCCAGGCCATTGCTGAGCTCAGTGAGGAGACTGTCCCTTGAGAGATTTGAGAAGCCCCAGGTCTCGTTGAGTCTGCAGGACTTGGTTGCACGGGGCTGGAGTGGGGAGAGTACAGGAAAGCGGGGTGGGGTCTTGAAGGAGGGAGGGTCTTCGTGCTCATTGCTTTGCTGCGCAGGGCTGTGCCTCCGTCGCAAACCTTTCAAGAGTCCCGCTCTAGTAAGAGAGGGAGGGGATGTTGGGTACAAGGGGAAGTTAGGGAGGGAAGCACTTGCACCCACCTTCTTAACACCTCGCGTTCAGATCCAGTTATTTTCAACACCCACAGGAAAGGCTGGGGCTTTAACACCAAATAGTGAAACCAATAACAAATTAGAGACTTACTCACCACCTAACAAAGGTGGCGTTTGTATTGTTTCAGTGGTGAATCAAAGCCCAGTTTGGCAGGCCCTGCTCCTGGGTCCCTGCCTCCAGCAACCCTCCAGCCCTCTCTAAGCCAGCCAGCTGGGCAGGGTTTTCTGTCCCTCCCACGGGGAGTTTGGGTGCACGTCCATGCGCCGCCTCTGTCCCCCATTGGCCTGGGTTTCTTGAGGACAGGGACGGACCCTGGATGTGTCTTCCTCCAGCTTTCTCTCGTGAGCGCTGCGCTCATTCCTACACGAGTGTGTTGAAAACCTCTGTGGAGGTGTCACCGCCTGGTTTTACCGCCTGGCTCACCCGTCTGTCTCTCAGTCCTGTCCCGCTGCTCCCCATCACGCACACTCTCCATTCTGGCCACACTGGCCCCTGCCCCATCATTCCCTGCCTCTTCTGCCTGCATGTGGCTTCAAGACCCTCCCCTTCACTTCTCCCCTGTCAAGACTGCGCCCTTCTTCGTGACTCAGCTCAAAGGCCCTCCCCGCCAGGAATCCTTCTCTGCTCTTGTGAACATTTGAGTGCCTGGAGTGTGTCTACTGCAGCTTGACCGTCTCCTCCCCACCTCCAAGTTCCCGTGATGTGATCGCCTCGTCCGGTGTGTATCATTCGGCCCCCCTGCATGCGTGTCTTCCTTTTGCGGACAAGTCCGGTGTCTGTCACATTCTGTAGAGCCGTCTTTTCTGCCTGGCCCGGGCTTCGGCCCGCCATAGACTCTGAAGAGGCGCCGGCCGCAAAATGGAACGCTCGTTTCATGCCCGAGCTAAGCCCTTTCTGGCTTTGTCCCCTGCGATCCTGACAGCAGCCCCTTACATAGATGCTGTTACTGTCCATCTCTTCCAGAGAAGGAAACTGAGGCTCCGCAGCATGCCTCGGGTCACACGGTGGTGAGCTGCAGAGCTGACATCTGTGACCAGGCCTCTCTGCCTTTTGCCTACGATGCTGTGTGACCTGGGGGTGGATGCAACTCCAAATAAGATGCATAAAAGCACGTGGGGGCCGTGAACTTCTCGAGGTACCACCAGTTCAGAAAAATCACGTGTCCGGGGGGTTGAGGCAAACCCTTTCCCGGGGAATAGCTCGACAGCTGGGGCTTCGTCAACACTGGGGAGGGGCGGGGATAAGTAGCCAGAGAGAAATGGATCTTCCCAGACTCCTCATAGCAGTGACTTCCCGGGAGCTGGCCTTTCAAGGTCCCTCGTCCTGGTAGGCGAGATTTGGGGTGTTGGAGACAGAGCACGGGATCTCCTGTTTGTCTCCGTTTGCTTCTTGAACACCCACGTCCTTGAGGGGTCATGACTGTCGGGTACTGTCTTGAGTCCTCTAGGGTCACAGAGATGAGTCGATCCCATTCCAGGGCCTCCGTCCCCATAGAGGAAGTGAGACCCATAAATAAATGACCTTAACGTTCGAAAAGGAGTTAATGTGGTCCTAAGAGACACTAGTTTTCACTGTTGAAGTGAGGAGGAGGGAGAGACCCCCTTCCGGCCCAGGCTGCTGCAAACCGTGGCCCAGGGAGCCGTGGCCTTAGCTCGGGGCCCCAGCTCTGGCTTGGTGTGCAGAGACTTGTACTGAGCCTGCACATTCTGACACCCCACAGCCTTGGAGGGATTTCGCTGAGGGCCCCACTCTTAAACCTGCAAAGGGTGTCATGAGAGGTTTGGCGGCTGGAGCGATGCCTCCCTGTGGTGAGCTGTCTGGACTGGCGAAGGGAACCCGCGAACAGACACTTGAGGGATTTTTGTACCTTGTGCTTCATGTAACGTAGTCATTCAGTTCTGACCACATGCCTATTTTGCAGACGCAGGACCAGACCTTGGGAACAACTGTAATTTGCTTAGGGCCACACGGCTGAGGCATCTCGGAACTGTAGTCTGATGCCGAGTGTGGAAGATTGAGCAGCAGGCATGAATGGAGTGCTGCCAGGGAGGAAAAAGGACTGGTCCGAGGAAGCGTGGAGGACAGTGGCTAGGAGGCGATCGGGAGGGTCAGCTGGGCCAAATCCAGATGTGGCCTGAGTGTCTTTGGAGAAGGAGGTGTCTGCGGCTGGGGGCAAACCGATAGTGCAGAAGGAGAAGGGAGGAAGGATCCCGTAGGGTGGGGATCCTTTCCTGGCTCGGAGATGGGCTCCAGAGTCTGGACGGTGCACCATAAACTGGTGTTCCCGTGAGCCGACAGCTTGCTCTTCTCTCTGCCTCACGCCATAGGTGATTGCGGTGGTGATGGATGTTTTCACGGACATCGACATCTTCAGGGACCTACAGGAAATATGTCGGAAACAGGGAGTCGCTGTCTACATCCTCCTGGACCAGGCTCTGCTCTCGCAGTTTTTGGATATGTGCATGGACCTGAAAGTGCATCCTGAAAAGGAGAAGGTTTGTGTTACGTGTTTCCAGTTTCTCCTTAATCAGCAGTAAGACTGAGCATCTGTTTTTTTTTTTTTTTT